GATTGTTGATATGCAAGTTTGATATTTGAATTAAAAGTTGAATTCAGTGCCACGTGTAATTATGGACACCATTATGTAAACAATTATATACATGTAGCATTTCCCTTGATCTTAATTCTTGTTTCAAAACAGTGAATACTTTTTCTTGAGAGGGGAAGGAATCAAATAATGTTGTTTCACCAAGGCCGGCCAAAGGAAAGTGGAATATCGTACAGTTTAGGAATGCTGTATGCCTATTTCATTACAGGAAGCATACATAGAAATTATATAAGACAAAATTATGAATCTGCAAATCCATCCTTGGAGATGAGTTGAAACAATAGAGGTGAGGTTCTCAATTCGCTAACCTCCAAATATGAGAAATTAGAAATGGTTTTTGTCCCCACATCCCCTGCTTCTTTCTTCTCATCGGACAAGGCCAAAAATTTTTGCCTTAAATTAAGAAGGAACCATAGTTCACAGCTTTAATAATTGTCCTTCGGACCAAACAATATGACCACTACTTGCTATCTTCAAAACCCTTTTACTATATTGTATTAGTATGCTTAACACGCTTTGTGGAACCATGGGGAGTCTCAATACTGAGACTGGTAACAGCATAAAGACTGAGATGGGCAACCTGAAAGTTTCAGTTGGGAGTCTAAAGAGTGACAAATCTTACACCACACAAGAACCCATATCACCAAATGAGTCTGTTTCCGAGTTAAAGAAGAATTCTTCATTATCTGACTTTGAAACTCCCAGTTGCTTGACACAAACTAGTCTAAATAGTTTAACCCCAGCAACAAGCCTAACTAGTTTGACCCCAGGAACAAGCTTAACCAGCTTGACTCCAACAAGTTTGAGTATTCCAGAACTCAAATTTGAAGTGGATGGAGATGTTGAAATTCAATCCCCCGATTTTTCAATGTGGGACTCTATTTTCTCAGATCAATTGGAAGGTGATTTCATGATTTCCTCTCCAGTGAGGAACATAAACTCACCACAGGCAACCAAATTTCACAACGTTAATTCCAACTATGCTCATGCAATACACGGTTCGAGTCTTATGGGGTGGTCTCCTCCACGCGTACCATCTCCTCTCGGACCTCAAAGCGCCAGTTTGCAGAAAGGCAAGGGACTGAGCCCTCTTCACAGGGTTTTTAACTCTCCAAACAACCAATTCATGCAGGTGGAGAACTTTTCACTGCCTGCTCTAGAGAGCCTATTAGAAGATAATATCTATGAAAAGGATGATGACTTCGTTGTATTCTCCCCTATGAAGATTACCGAAGGAGAAACTTCTTCTGATTGTTTTGATGCACTTACAAGCGTTCCAGAATTGTTAGACTGCTTAACACTGCCAAACTCGACTAGATTTTGTGGATCTGTAGTGAACGACACAACTGTCCATGGATGCAATGACATTTATCAGGCAGGATCTATTCCACCTGTACAATTATCACAACAATTACGAGAGGAAAGGCAGCACGAAGAGCATCAGCGACAGCAGCAAGAACATGCACTGCCATCGCAGAGAACTCAAAGACAACTGCATCAGCAACAGCAACAAAATCAACTGCAAAATTTACACAACTTTGTAGTGCCTATTTCTATTGGACCTGAGCAGGTAAAAGATTCGTTTACTAAAAAACTTCAGCTCAAATCATAGGTTCATAATCCTTTAACTAACTTTTTCCATGCTATAATTATCGTAAAGGAACAGGACAGTGGGCTACAACTTGTGCATCTACTTCTTGCTTGTGCCGAAGCAGTATCCAAGGAGGAGTATATGTTAGCTAGGAGGTATCTCCACATTCTGAACCGAGTGGTTTCGCCCCTCGGTGACTCCATGCAACGCGTTGCAGCTTGCTTCACCGAAGCCTTAAGTGGAAGACTCGCATCAATCCTAACAAATAAACCTAGCACCTCCAATCCAAAACCCTTCAACCCTTTTCCCCCCAACTCAGTAGAAATCCTCAAGATTTATCAGATTCTGTATCAAGCCTGTCCCTACATTAAATTTGCCCATTTCACTGCAAATCAAGCAATATTTGAAGCATTTGAGGCTGAAGAGCGTGTCCATGTCATCGATCTCGATATCCTTCAGGGGTACCAATGGCCTGCCTTCATTCAAGCCCTAGCTGCCAGGCCCGGCGGTGCCCCGTTTCTCCGTATCACTGGAGTTGGACACGACCCCGAGGCAGTGAGAGAAACCGGTAGATGTTTAACCGAACTAGCTCACTCCCTTCACGTTCCATTTGAATTCCATCCTGTTGGTGAGCAACTTGAAGACCTAAGACCACACATGTTCAACAGAAGGGTTGGAGAAGCTCTGGCTGTTAACTCAGTTAACCGGCTCCATCGCGTTCCCGGCCATGCTCTTGGAAATCTTTTAGCCTTGATCAGAGATCAAGCACCAAATATAGTCACCATAGTTGAACAAGAAGCAAGCCACAACGGGCCTTACTTCTTAGGCCGATTCCTAGAGGCGTTGCACTGTTATTCGGCAATATTTGACTCATTGGATGCAACCTTCCCACCGGATTCCTTGCAGAGGGCGAAGGTGGAGCAACACATATTCGCGCCAGAGATTTGGAACATTGTGGCATGTGAGGGTCCAGAGAGAGTAATGAGGCATGAAAGGCTCGAAAAATGGAGGAAACTGATGGAAGGAAAGGGATTCGAAGGGGTACCACTGAGTGAAAATGCAGTGACTCAATCAAAAATACTATTGGGATTGTATTCTTGTGATGGATATAGATTAACAGAAGACAAGGGTTCCTTGCTCTTGGGTTGGCAGGATAGAGCTATTCTGGCTGCTTCTGCATGGAGATGCTAATTCATATTTACGTGTACGTGTTTCTTTTTCCTTTTGCTTAATTAATTAGATTGATATTTGATATGTCCAAGTTGATGTGATATAATTATTGAACTTCAATGCATTACAATATTGACATTTTCTTTTTGTAAACATTAATCTGTCGGTAATAATATTATTTTCAG